TCCCTAGTCGGGCCCCCCGGGATTTGAACACGCTGGGCTGGTTCTGGGGTGGGCCACATCAGCCTGGTGATGTGGCCCTGAGCCCCATGGCCCATGGAACCCTGTGGGAAGCACGCGCACTTACACACACACACACAGCGGCACGCCCGGCTGCATCCAGTGGGCTCTGTGGATTCCCTGGCCTCATCTTGAGCTCTGGCAGGGCCTCTGCTTTCTGCCTCAGGTCTCATCTCCAGTCTCTGAGGGGTCAGTGGAACTCACCCTCCTGCACTCACCCTGCTGCTGGGCCAGGCCTCTTCCCTGACCGCCACAGAGGGGCCTCACGGTCTGGGCCTCTCCTCGTGGATGGCTCCTCCATGTATGATGCCAACCCTCACCCCCCACCCCCCCGGTGCAGTGTCTCTGGTTTCACCCACTTTGCTCCCTCCCTTGCTAGAGGAAACCACCATCTTCCTCTCTTATTCTTTGGTGCCACATGCGCACGCGTGCGCACACACACACACACACACACACATACACACACACACATACACACACCACCACCACCACCACCACCACTACCACCATCATCTCCAGGTGCCTATCCAAGGGGCCCAGGACCCGAGCATCTCCCTTGTCCTCCTCTCCCTTCCTACCTCCCTGGAGCCTCCTGCACTCTGTCCCTGAGCACGCCTCCATGCTTTGGCTCACCCCTCGCTTCCTGGGGTCCCCCTTCTCCCCTCACACCCACATATCCATGCTCGTGTCCTCAAACTGGCATCCCTCCCATGGGGCCAGCCGAGTATCTGCAGCCTGGCACGGACCAGCCAGGCCGAGATCAGAAAGCCCTGGGAGTAGAGAGCGGGACACGGGCTTTCCAGGCTGTAGGACAGTCTCCTCCAGGGCCAGGAGCGAGCCTGCAAGAGCCCGACTCGGTACCCCAGCACAGAGCCAGGAACAGAGAATAAGAGAGGAAGACGGTGGCTTCCTGTCCCTGCTGGGTGTGGGCCAAAAGCCAAAAAGAAAATACAAGAAGAGTCTCTTCCATGTCTGCCCTCGGAGCCAGGAAGCAACCAGAGATAGGCGAGCCCGCAGCCGTGGCAGGAGAGCTTCACAGCTGTGCCCCAGGCCGAGCAGAGCCTGAGTCCCAGGAAACCATGGAACCCACACAGCATCCCTGGGCGTGCATGTGGGGCCGTGACTTCCCACAGCAGGTGCCTCCCTGGGAAGGGGGAAGGGCAGTCAGGAACCAGCCCCGTACCCTCTGACCTCCACCAGCAGGGGTTGTGGGTAGCAGCGGCGTCACGGGTTCCCTGAGTGGGGTTGTCTGAATTGTTTTCTGCCACTCCAGCTCAGGGAAGGGGCTTCTGTAAGAAGCAGCCAGGAGGTGGGAGGCAGGGGACAAGAACCCCCCACCACATGCTGTGAGCCCCAAGTTAGGGTAGGTCTTGTTGCATCAGCTACTGAAAGGTTCTCATGGACCAGAGAGATGGTATAGTGGGTGGGGTGGGCACTTACCTTGCACACAGTCGACCCTGGTTCAATCCCTGTCACCGCATAGAGTCCCCAACTCTGAGACAGGCTCCTGAGCACAGAGCCAGGAGTAGCCCTTGAGTACTGCCAGGTGTGGTCATAACCCACCCCCTCAAACAAAAGGTTCTATAGTCTGATCTGTCCCTTTGGGCAGTGACGTTTTTAGCCTTGGTAGAGCTCAGAATGGTGACTTTGTGATAATTTTCGAGCTTAATGGTTAGCCAGGCAGAAGACGTTCCTCTTCAGGGCAAGGGGACTGCTGGGGCCCAAGGTCTATCCCTCCTTCCCACTGTCCCTCTTGTTGCTTCCACTCATTTAACCCTCCATGACCAGGCCAGATAGGTGGCACCGCTATGTGAGAACCAAGAGCCCCAGTTTCTCCACGTGGCAGGGAGGATCAGGCCTCTCGTGGGTGCACAGGAGTGTGGTGGGGTGCGGGTGGCATGCCCCCCTCTCCACGGCCTCCTGAAGCCAGGCTACCCAACCGCCATGTTAAAGCTGTGTGTCGGAGGGCCAGAGCTATAGCACAGCAGGTAGGGCGTTTGCCTTGCACAAGGCCGACCTGGGTTCAATCCCCAGCATCCCATATGGTCCCCCAAGCACCACCAGGAGTAATTCCTGAGTGCAGAGCCAGGAATGACCCCTGAGCATCGCTGGGTGTGACCCAAAAAGAAAAAAAAAAATGCTTCGTGTCCGTGTCTGGGTGTTCTCATCTGAAAAATAGACTTGGGAAGGCCCTCCCACAACGCACGCTGCAAGCGCAAAGCATGTGGGGCCGCTCCGTGTGCATGGGCCGCCGAGAACAGTGGCCCGTGGAGCTGGGCTGGGCTCCACCATCTCGTACAGCGAGGACTTAGGAGGGAGGTCGAGAGAGGGGCAGACACAAGCCGTCTCCCCAGGAGGAGTCTGGGCCCCAAGGGGGGCTGCACTTCCTGCCCACCTTGCCCGGGCAGGGCTGCCCATGGCCAGTGGCCTAGACGACCCTACCCTTGGCTCGCATCAGTCAGGGGCTCACAGAAGCCGCAGCCAGGCAGGCCCCCTCTCATCAGGCCCAGGCCTCCCTGGGGACCTTTGGAGTAGGTGAGAGCGTGGGGGGCTACTTGGCAGGTCCCCTCTCGTGTGCCCTTGAATAAAAGGCGGCGAATGAACTTGGTATGGCTGCGGGGCACACCTTGCAAGGACTTCTCGCCTTCCACGCTGGGTGTTGCCATGTCGCCTGGCCAAGAGATGAAGGAATCTCCATGGCTGGACATGAAGGAGAGATGAGAGGCGGGACAGGGTTGAGGGCACTGAACTGGCAGGTGACGGTCACATAGTAGACAGAGCCACATAGAATAGGCAGAGGATGTGCCCACCCACCCTCCTGGTCCTCCTGTCCTTGGGCCCCAGCAGCTGGGAAGCTGGTGATACCAGAGTGGTTGCCCACCTGCCGTCTGGACCCTGGGTTCCTGTACTGTACAGGTGCCGCCCTTCCCTGGAGAGGGGGTGTGAGGCTGGGCCGCTCTCTGCGTGGGATTCCCAGCACATCCCCCCATTTCTGGGCCCCGCCCCACACACACCACCTGGTGGCTGCCACCCGACAACTCAGCAGTGTGCTTGGGGCAGGATTGGAGATGACATGAGTCTTTCAGAAGCAGCTTGGGAGGGAAGGAGTGGAGAGCAGTGGGGAGAGGAGGAGCTCATTCGAGGGGTTAACGGCCTCGCCCATGGGCTGCTGGCCACCATGCAGGGTGCTGGACGTGAAGCGGGTTTCTCTTGCGATCAGAGGAAGAGGAGCAGTGCCACTCTGGTGGGCTGTTTCTTTCCCTGTTTCATGAAAGGGTAGTGGACTGCCAGGAATAAACCTGGGTCTGCTGCATGCACGGCCAGCGCCCTCATTTCTCTCTCTCTCTCTCTCTCTCTCTCTCTCTCTCTCTCTCTCTCTCTCTCTCTCGTCCCTGTTGGCCGTGTTCCTGCCAGGCTGCCCCGTGAGAGGTGTGGCACCTGGTGTTGACCCTGGCCCCCACACCATACAGCTTGTGCATTTGGAAATCCAACCCCTGTGAAACGTTAGAAAACCAGCCAGGCAGGGGCGGAAGGCGGCAGCTCGGCCCCCCCTCCCCCGCCGCAGCCCGAGTCTGGGGCCATCGGGAAAAGTCTGGATGAAGAATGGTTTGGAGCTTGGCGCGGTGTGAGCTTTGCAGCCGCCAGTGGAAACTTCCAGGAATGCTGCTTCTAGCCAGCCGGGGGCTGTTTCCGCTGCAGCTTTTATGAGCTGCAGACCCCCACCCCGGCTCTCGCTCAGCCCAGCCCTGCCTCTTGGGGTACAACTCCCACTCTGGTCCAGTAACTTGGGGGGGGGAGTGCCGTCGTGTCCTGGGACTACGCACCCTCCAGCCCTGCCCGGCTTGTTTCAAAGGGGCCCCCTGCCAGGAGGGGCCGCCAGGAGCCTATGACATCGAGCAGGAGCAGCGGGAATTTATGGCAGCCTCAGAGAGGAAACTCCCTCCCCATGCGTTTCAGTGTTTTATTAGACGTCTGAAAGGAAAGTCTCCTTTCCACTGGACCAAGGCCCGGAGCCGGCTGGGAGCCACAGGAAAGGTGGCAACACCTCTCAGGGAAGGACCACAGGCAGCTGGTGAGAGTCGTAGAAAGTGCCCCCCGAGCCTGCCCCTGCCTGGGCATATTGACTGCATGGCCTAGGAACAAAGACTCCTGGTGCCGTCAGGGCCATCAGCCCTCTGGGAGGAAAAGAAAGTGGGCAGAGGGCCGGAGAGTTAGTACAGCGGATATGGCATTTGCCTTATACGTGGCTGACCTGGGTTCCATCTCTGGCATCTCGTATGGTCCCCCAAACACTGCCCGGACTAATTCCCAAGTACAAAGCCAGGAATAATCCCTGAGCATCACAGGGTGTGACCTAAAAGCCAAAAAAAAAAGGAAGAAAGTGGGCAGAGCCATATGGTGAGTAGGGGCCAATCTGTCTGGGCATGTGACCAAGGGGCCAGCCCCTGTCTCAGGAGCACACAGGTGCCCCGAGACCTTTGGCCCTGTGCCGTGTTCCACCCAAGGCAGGAAGAGATGGGCAGGGGCTTGCAGCCCATGGGACGCTTGTGTGTATGTGCCAAGCACCTCCTCCCAGTGAGCACCTGCAGCAGTGGGCTCCCAGCTCTCTGCTGGAGAGGCCTGGACAGAAAGGGGGCACAGGCAGAACATGTCACTTGCCCCCAGCCCCAGTAATGTCATCTGCACTTGGAAAGGTGGAGAGGGCAAGGGCCTGGGATCGTCTCCGCGAGCAGGAGGAGAGCACTTTCTCCTCTGTGCAGTCGAGGTGGCTGCTGGTCCCCACTCCGGGCCTGAATGCAGGGGTGGGGTGTCTTGGGGAAAGCCCAAGGGCGGGGGCGGGGATGTGCACTTTCCTTCCTCTCGCCGCACCATCCTCCTGTCCAGAAGCTGGACCCCAGGTTGGGGGAGCCCCAGCCAGCCTGACCGCCGCTGTCCTCCTACAGACCGTGTCCATCCTGGAGCAGCGGCTGACGCTGACGGAAGACAAGCTGAAGCAGTGCCTGGAGAACCAGCAGCTAATCATGCAGAGAACGACACCGTGATCAAGGGGACCGCAATCAAGAGCACGCTCGATTTGGGGTGGCAGGCGGGGGTTTGTACTGTGGGCCATGGGTAAATAAAAGGGATTCAGCCAGGTGGGCCCTTTCTCCATCCTGAGCCCAGGGGCTCCACCTGCCACAGAACGGGAGGTCCCTGGTCGGCGAGACCCACGCTTACATGGCAGGCCGCATTTAGTCTGGGGAGAAGTGGCCAGCCCCAGCCCCGGAGGCAGCCCTGGTTTCACTTGCCATGCGGGGGCCTATTCAGCTGATGCTACATGCTGCACAGTCGAAGCTGCCCGGGATGGTCTGGTGAGCCCGGTGTTGGCTTGCACCAACAGAAGCCCGTGTGGATGTGGCTGGGCCCAGGGGGCTGGGATCAAGCCTCTGAGGATCAGGGATCTTGCAGTGGCCAAGTGTCCCCCAACACGCTCCTGAGGGCCCAGTGGCAGCTCCTCAAGAGCATCTAAGACTAGAACAGTCATTTCTTGTTTATTTTTGGGCCAGACCCCATGGTTCTCTGGGCTTCTGGCAGCACGTAGGGACCACATGGGGTGGGAGGGATTGAACCTGGGTCCTACCCACTGTACTGTCTGATCCTGAGAACAGTCTCTATCCAGCTTGTCAGAGAAGCAACAGGGTCTGAGTTAGACCCAGTCAGCTCAAGAGGCCCATAAAGGCTAAAGGACAGGGCAGCTGCGGGGCACTCCGGCCAGAATCATCTCTGAAGTGAGGACACCCATAACCACAGCTGCTCAGGGTGTTTGCGGAGCAAGACTGGTCCATGTCCTTGCCCACGGGCTCTTGGCTCCTGAGCTTCCTGCAGCCCCCGCCTCTGCATGCGTGTGGGAGGACCAGGTGAGCATCTGCCGGCTGTGCAGATGTCGGTCCTGCCTCAGCATTGACTTTGGAGGGTACGCAGCAAGCCAAGAAGGTACTAATCCTCCAGCATACCTGCCCTAACCTGGGAGGATGGGGCTGGAATCTGTTGGTTCTCAGGGTTGGGGTGGCCATACAGCTGTGGGGTCTGGATGGGGTGCCTCTGAGGCTCGGAGGGAGGCACCCGGTGTCAGCGTCTCCCCACTTCCCACTGGCAGTCGGGGGTGCGGGGAAGTGCAGAGTCAGGCCTTGGGCAGTCTTTAGCTCTGAGTCCCGCCATACAGGGACAGAACCTCTGGTCCTTTGGCTCACCTGTCACTGATGGTGAGAACCACCCCTCCAGTGACCACCTGGCTGTCACTCTGTCCCCCCATACACCTGTCACCCCACTCTCACTTGGGCTGCATGCAGGCAGAGCCCACCCCACCCCAGGCCCTTGCCTGCTTTCTGGGCCCCGGGATCCCAGCTCAGGGTTTCCCCCATGCCAGGCCTGGGATGCTTTCGGGCAGACGTGGGCAGGCTGCAGGGAGGCCAGCCTTGCCCTCAGCACCTGTGTTGATGGCCTACCAGGTCATCTGGATGGGGGCTGAGGCTGGTGACAGGAGCCATGAGCCCTGGGATAACACTGTTCCCCAAAACAGGCCCTGGGGCAGGGGGACACAGGAGGGTCTCCTAGTCCTGTTCCCAGGCTCTGATTCCCATCCCAGGATCGTTTCCGCTTTCTCTGAAACCCACCTTCCCCTGTAGGTCTGAGGGCCTGGCAGGGGTGTGGGAGGTTGGGGTCCTAGGAGGCATTTTCCTGGGTTTCCTATTACCAGTTAAGTAGGTATAGACCCTCGGGGGGGCTTCACCCCACCCCACACCCTCCTCTAGCCTGATGCCCCTCTCCCTGGACAGCAGCCCAGAATTGGAGGTCTGGAGGGTTCCCGAGAGCTGGGCTTGTTCTTGATAAAACAAACCCAGAGACTTTGGGTCTTCCCCAAGTCTGAGATGGGGCCTGACCTGGTCACTCTGGGCTGGTGGCAGGTCGCACTGGGGCACTGGGCCACACACAGGACAAGAGTGATTTTGAGGTGTCCTGGTCTTGTGCCATTTCCCCATGGACACTGCCAGTCGTCCCCAGTGGCACCCTGTCACTGTGGCCCACTCCTGCCTCAGTCTTGAGAGCAGGCTTGAATGTGCAGAAACTTTGGCTCTGCCGTCACCCCTCCTGACTTCAGATGTGGGTAATTCAGCTCAGAAAACCAGAGTGCAGCTCGGTTGGTTGATGTCTCTCAGGCTCTCATTTGGCCTCACCTTCTGCAAACCCATCTCCAGTTTCTACCCATTTGGGGAAGGGTATCCTGGGAACTGACCCAGGTCAGCTACATCAAAGCAAGCGCCTCCACCCTGTAACTGCCTTTCCCGCCCTTACACGTTCATGCAAGTATGAGCCCTTGAGTTTGATCCCTGGATGCCATCCCCATCCGCCAAGCATGGTCCCAGGGTCTCTCTGAACCTCAGCACCACAGTGGGGTTTAAAGTTTGAGTGTAGGGGGACTGGAGAGATAGCACAGAGGGTAGGGCGTTTGCCTTGCACGCAGCCAACCCGGGTTCGATTCCCAGCATCCCATATGGTCCCCTGAGCACCGCCAGGAGTAACCCCTGTGCATTGCCAGGTGTGACCCAAAAAGCAAAAAAATAATAATAATAAAGTTTGAGTGTAGGACCAGAGCAATATAGCACAGCCCCTGAGCACCACTGAGTGTGGCCCAAAACAAAAACAAAAAAAATTGTGAGTGTAAGATTGTGTCACCAGCTGCTCAGAGCATGGACCAGGGGGGACAACAGGTGTCTGGTTTAAATGACAGCCTCCCTTGGAGCCCTTGACTGGTCTTAGAAGGCAGGGGACAGCCCTGCCTTTCCTGCAGGGATGCCTGGACAGCAGAGGCAGCTCGCTCCCATGCAACCCTCTGCCCTTCTGCCATGACCTCTGGTCCTTAGGCACACCTGACATGCTGTTTTGTGTCCTTGCAGGTCTGTGTCCCCTCTGAGACAAGCAGCATGGGCCGGCTCCCCTCCCAGCCTGCCTCCCCCCACGCCAGTCCTACCCCCCTCATTTTCTGTCAGGTGGTGGGGTTCTTTCTACCGTGTGAGGGAGCCAGGGGCGGCCCTGGCCCACTGTCCCACTCCAAGTTGCTGTTCTCCCCGCTTGCAGCTCCGTGCCCTTGAGCAGCACCCCAGCCCCTGGAGACAGAGCTAGGTCCTGTGTTGGCACCTGGGGCGCTCAGAGCAGCAGTCACCCCGGCAAGGGTGGCTGTTAGTGGGACTCTATCCCACCTCAACCCCCGCGGCCAGCCTGAGGGACCCTTCTGGCAGGCCAGGCTCCTCCCCTGGAACTTGACTCACGTGTAACAGGGGTGGGGGATCATAGCCCCTGCCCTGGTCCCTCTGGCGCTGAAATCCCTGGTGGCCCTGCCACAGGCACCCCCAGAGGGGAGGAAGGAGCTGGGCCCAGGCAGCCCTGCCCACCTGAGAAGCAGCCCTCCTAGGCCACAACTGACGCAGCCAAAAGGGGGGTGCTGGGGGAGAGGGGGTGCGATTACCGGAATCCCGGAAACCCCGCCCGCTGAGCCAGCGAGGGCAGTGACTCAGCCAGCCGGCCCGCTGCTGCCTCTCATTAACCTCCCCTTCCTCCACCGTCCACTCCAGCTGAGCCCCCAGTGGCTATGTGACCAGCTAAGGGAGACAAACCAGGGAGGGCCCGGCGACCGCCCAGGCGTCATGCCTCTCCCTGGCACAAGCCTCAGCCTGCTGCCCGGTGGGCTCCAGCCCGCCCTCACAGCTCAGAACACTGGTCTCCGGGTCACCCGCTCTAGACAAGGGTCTCTGAGAGCTGCTTGCCTGCCCCCGCCCCCTGTGAGCCCCAAACCAGGACATGGGGCCCTCCCAGTCAGCCTGGAGCCAGGCCAGAGGCAGGGGGCCGCCAGCAGCCCAGCCTGCCTCCTGCATGCGTGCAGATTCCCTGAAGCCCCTTCACTGTCTGCAGGCCCCCTCCTTCCCCCCCCCACCGCCTGGTGACCTTCTTGTTGCAGGAGCCCCCAGCCCCCCCTTCTCCCCTCCCCCCATGGGAAAGCTGAGCCAAGATGGAGAAACTGCGGGAGAGGAAGTTCTGCTCTCAACTTCCCTCTCTTGGCCGCGGACTTCTCTTTCCAGTACGAGTTTGTGTTCCTGAAAGTGGGGCTTTGGTCCCTTAGTGGGCACCCGGTGGGCAGAGGCCTGGCCCGAGCCTCTGGGACTCCAGTTGGCACCATTCCCCTGCTCCCTGCGCTGACAGCAGCCCCCGGGACCTCATCCTCCCCCAGCGCTCAGCACTTGAACTCAGCTTAGGGGTGGTGACAGGCTTCCAAACCGGGCCTGGGTGTGGGCTCAGCTGACCTCTACGCCTGCCCTCCCCAGGTGGCTCAGCTCCCATCCTTGCCTGGGACTGTCTACTAGAGCCTGCCCCACCCCTGCACCAGGCCCCTAAACACTGACTCCAGCCAGAGCCACACCAAAGACGTGGCCTCAAGCCCAAGGTTGGGATGTGAGTGTGGGTGATGCCCCCCAGGGGGGCCACGTCCCCCAGCCCATCATTTCAGCGCCCAGAACCTCCTTCCATGACAGCTGCCCCTGGACTGGCTCCTCAGAAGCCTCTGAAATTCGGAGCTGGAGAAGCCGCATTCTTGGTTCCCCCAAGCTCTTGGGAGACCAGGTTTGTCTGTCCCGAGGCCCGGGTGGGCCGCTGCCACTGGGCATCTCAGCTGAGTCTGTGAAGTGACTTCTTGCTGCCCTGTCCCAGCTCAACTCGCAGCCGGACTGAGATAAGGCTGCCCGTGCCCTGTGAGAGGTGTCCTGGAGTCTGCCGGGGACCAGTACTTCTAGCTTCGACGGCCTCCCCTCTGGGAAACGGATGGGAACCTGCTGAGGCCGGTGTAAGTCAGGCAAGGGCCTTCCCAACTCCCCAGCAACCCACAGCCCTCCAGAGTCAGCCCCCCACCCGCTGGTCCCATGTGAAGAGCCTTCTTCATGGTGCGCATAATGGCTCAGATGCTGAGCCATGCAGAGCCAGGAGTTCAGGGGGCTAGGTTTGGGGGTACCCAGGGCATGCCCAAGGGATCATGCACCGTGCCAGGGGTGCTCGGCCTGCT